AAATAAATAAATGTGATTGGCTGGTATGCTACACCCTGACATTTCTTTCCACTACTGTTGGAAAATAAGGATTGCCTTCACACACCCCCTCCCCAAATAAAAAGAGGAGTTAGGTCTCTGCATGCTGTCTAGGCTATCTAGATGGAGGGGCTCCAACTATTTTTAATTCAATTAAAAATGAATAAATAGATGTGATTGGCTGGGATGATGCACCATGAAATTTCTTTCCACTACTGTTTGAAAGTAAGCAATACCATCAAGTACCGTGTAATGATAACAAAGGGTTAATAGCACACAAGCATACCTTGGCACTTACAGTATATTACATAAAATGGAAAGAAGGGACCATTGTGGGGGTAAGAGGGGTGTGTTTCCAAAATAAGGATTGCAGTCCACCCCCCCCCCCCCAAAAAAAAAAACATAGTGGAGTAAGGTCTCTGTATTCTGTCTAGGCTGTCTAGATGGAGGCGCTCAAACCATTTTTAATTAAATTAAAATGTTAAATTACATTTTTAATTAAATTGAAAATGAATAAATAAATGGATATGATTGGCTGGGCTGCTGCACTCTGAAATTTCTTTCCACTACTGTTTGAAAGTCCAAAATAGGGATTGCCCCCCCCCCCCCCAAAAAAAGGAGTTAGGTTTAATTAAATCAAAAATGAATAAATAAATAGATATGATTGGCTGGGATAATGCACCCTGAAATATCTTTTCACTACTGTTTGAAAGTAAGCAATACCATTAAGTACCATGTAATGATAACAAAGGGTTAATAGCAAACAAGCATACTTTGGCACTTACAGTATATTACATACAATTTAAAGAAGGGACCATTGTGGGGGTAAGAGGGGTGTGTATCCAAAATAAGGATTGCCTTCACTACCACCACCCCAAAAAAAGGAGTTAGGTCTCTGCATGCTGTCTAGGCTGTCTAGATGGAGGGGCTCCAACTATTTTTAATTCAATTAAAAATGAATAAATAGATGTGATTGGCTGGGATGATGGACCCTGAAATTTCTTTCCACTACTGTTTGAAAGTAAGCAATACCATCAAGTACCGTGTAATGATAACAAAGGGTTAATAGCAAATAAGCGTACTTACAAAATATTACATAAAATGGAAAAGAGGGACCATTGTGGGGATAAGAGGGGTGTGTTTCCAAAATAAGGATTGCCCCCCTCCCCCCAAAAAAATAGAGGAGTTAGGTCTCTGTATGCTGTCTAGGCTGTCTAGATGGAGGAGCTTTAACCATTTTTAATTAAATTACATTTTTAAATTACATTTATTTTTAATTAAATTAAAAATGAATAAATGAATAGATATGATTGGCTGGCATGATGCACCCTGAAATTTATTTCCACTACTGTTTGAAAATCCAAAATTGCCTTCACCCCCCCAAAAACAAAAAAAGGAGTTAGGTCTCTGCCTGCTGCCTAGGCTATCTAGATGGAGGGGCTCCAACTATTTTTAATTCAATTAAAAATAAATAAATAGATGTGATTGGCTGGGATGCTGCACCCTGAAATTTTTTTCACTACTGTTAATACCATTAAGTACCATGTAATGATAACAAAGGGTTAATAGCAAATAAGCATACCTTGGCACTTACAGCATATTATATACAATTTAAAGAAGGGACCATTGTGGGGGTAAGAGGGGTGTGTTTCCAAAATAAGGATTGCCTTCACCACCAACCCCCCAAAAAAAAAGGAGTTAGGTCTCCGCATGCTGTCTAGGCTGTCTAGGTGGAGGAGCTCCAACCATGTTTAATTAAATTAAACAACAATAAATGTGATTGGCTGGGATGATGCACCCTGAAATTTCTTTCCACCACTGTTTTAAATTCCAAAATAAGGATTGCCTTCACCCCCCCCCCCCCCCCCCCAAAAAAAAAGAGGAGATAGGTCTCTGCATGCTGTCTAGGTGGAGGAGCTCCAACCATTTATAAATAAATTAAAAACGAATAAATAAATGTGATTGGCTGGAATGCTGCACCCTGAAATTTATTTCCATTACTGTTTGAAAGTCCAAAATAAGGATTGCCTTCAGCCCCCCCCCCCCCCCCCCCCCCCCCCCCCTCCTAAAAAAAAAGAGGAGATAGGTCTCTGCATGCTGTCTAGATGGAGGAGCTCAAACCATTTTTAATTACATTCAAAATTTTAATTAAATTTTTAATTAAATTATAAATGAATAAATAAATAGATATAATTGGCTAGGATGATGCACCCTGAAATGTATTTCCACTACTGTTTGAAAGTCCAAAACAAGGACTGCCTTCACCCCCCCCCCCAAAAAAAAAAAACAACAAATGAGTTAGGTCTATGCATGCTGTCTAGGCTATCTAGATGGAGGGGCTCCAACTATTTTTAGTCAAATTAAAAATGAATAAATAGATAGATGTGATTGGCTGGGATGATGGACCCTGAAATTTCTTTCCACTACTGTTTGAAAGTAAGCAATACCATTAAGTACCATGTAATGATAACAAAGGGTTAATAGCACATAAGCATACTTTGGCACTTACAGCATATTACATACAGTGTAAAGAAGGGACTATTGTGGGGATAAGAGGGGTGTGTGTCCAAAATAAGGATTGCCTTTAACACCCCCCCCCCCCCCCACAAAAAAAAGAAGGAGTTAGGTCTCTGCATGCTGTCTAGGCTGTCTAGATGGAGGAGCGCCAACTATGTTTAATTAGCACTTATAGTATATTACATAAAATTTAAAGAAGGGACCATTGTGGGGGTAAGAGGGGTGTGTGTCCAAAATAAGGATTGCCCTCACTACCACCACCCCAAAAAAAAGGAGTTACGTCTCTGCATGCTGTCTAGGCTGTCTAGGTGGAGGAGCTCCAACCATTTTTAAATAAATTAAAAATTAATAAATAAATAAATGTGATTGGCTGGTATGCTGCACCCCGACACTTCTTTCCACTACTGTTGGAAAAAAAGGATTGCCTTCACCCCCCCCACCCCAAAAAAAATAAAAATAAAAAGAGGAGTTAGGTCTCTGCATGCTGTCTAGGCTGTCTAGATGGAGGAGCTCCAACTATTTTTAATTCAATTAAAAAATAATAAATAGATGTGATTGGCTGGGATGATGCACCCTGGAATTTCTTTTCACTACTGTTTTGAAAGTAAGCAATACCATCAAGTACCAAAATAAGGATTGCCTTCACCCCCCCCCCCCCCCCCCCCCCCCCAAAAAAAAAAAGGAGATAGGTCTCTGCATGCTGTCTAGATGGAGGAGCTCAAACCATGTTTAATTAAATTCAAAATTTTAATTACATTTTTAATTAAATTATAAATGAATAAATAAATAGATATAATTGGCTGGGATGATGCACCCTGAAATGTATTTCCACTACTGTTGGAAAATAAGGATTGCTTTCACCCCCCCCCCCCCCCCCCCCCAAAAAAAAATAAAAAATAAAAAGAGGAGTTAGGTCTCTGCATGATGTCTAGGCTGTCTAGGTGGAGGAGCTCCAAATAGTTTTAATTAAATTAAAAAAGAATAAATAGATGTGATTGGCTGGATGATGCACCCTGGAATTTCTTTTCACTACTGTTTGAAAGTAAGCAATACCATCAAGTACCATGTAATGATAACAAAGGGTTAATAGCCAATAAGCATACCTTGGCACTTACAGCATATTACATGCAATTTAAAGAAGGGACCATTGTGGGGGTAAGAGGGGTGTGCGTCCCTAAATAGGGATTACCTATACCACCACCCCCCAAAAAAGGAGTTAGGTCTCTGCATGCTGTCTAGGCTGTCTAGGTGGGGGAGCTCCAACTATTTTTTTCCGCTACTGTTGGAATTAAATTAAAAATGAATAAATAGATAGATGTGATTGGCTGGGATGATGCACCCTGGAATTTCTTTTCACTACTGTTTGAAAGTAAGCATTACCATCAAGTACCATGTAATGATAACAAAGGGTTAATAGCACATAAGCATACTTTGGCACTTACAGCATATTACATGCAATTTAAAGAAGGGACCATTGTGGGGGTAAGAGGGGTATGTGTCCTAAATAGGGATTACCTATACCACCCCCCCAAAAAAAAAGGAGTTAGGTCTCTGCATGCTGTCTAGGCTGTCTAGATGGAGGAGCTCCAAATATGTTTAATTAAATTAAAAAAGAATAAATAGATGTGATTGGCTGGATGATGCACCCTGGAATTTCTTTTCACTACTGTTTGAAAGTAAGCAATACCATCAAGCACCATGTAATGATAACAAAGGGTTAATAGCACATAAGCACACTTTGGCACTTACAGTATATTACATAAAATGGAAAGAAGGGACCATTGTGGGGATAAGAGGGGTGTGCGTCCAAAATAAGGATTGCCTTCACCCCCCCCCCCCCCCCAAAAAAAAAAGAGGAGTTAGGTCTCTGCATGCTGTCTAGATGGAGGAGCTCCAACCAGTGGTCCATTGGCATGGTGCTGAAATCCTTTACCTGCTGCTTTGCATCTTATTGGAGGCTTAGTGAATCCAATGAACTCATCAGAGACGTTGCCAGTAATAACAGGCACACAAGCAACTGATGATCTTGCCAGTTGATGGGGAAGTGATGCATTGCCTAGAGCTAAAGCAAGTGGCTGGTGATGACTTTGTACAGAAGGAGCCAACACAGACCTAGAGCTCACACACTGCAAGAAGCTGCACTGCATCATCCATCAGAAATCCCTCTCCTCCCTCCTCTCACCCTCTCTCTCCCCTTCTCTGTCTCTGTGTCTCAGTTGCTCTGAAATCCATTGCAAGCTGAGGATCTCCGCTTTTTTAGCAGCTGCTCTCCATTGCATTCCTATGGGACACCTACAATGACCACCTCCCCTGATCTCCTGGTGCCGGTGGAGGCTAAGATCCTGCTGAGCCCATGGAACCAGTCCAGGGACCTGACCGTGACTTTGTACCCCTTTAATGGCATCAGCAGCAGGAACACCACAAGCAACAGCAATGCCCCGGTGGAGGCAGAGAGGGATGTCAGCATGATAGTCATCCAGTTCATCTATGCCATCGTGTGCCTGATTGGGCTGATTGGGAACTCCATGGTCATTTTTGTCATCTTGAGGTATGCCAAGATGAAAACTGCCACCAACATCTACATCCTCAACTTGGCCATCGCGGATGAGCTCTTCATGCTCAGCGTTCCCTTCCTGGCCGCCTCCGCGGCTCTGCAGCATTGGCCCTTCGGCTCAGGGATGTGCCGCACCGTCCTCAGTGTGGATGGCATCAACATGTTCACCAGTGTCTTCTGCCTGACCGTCCTCAGTGTGGACAGGTATGTGGCTGTGGTCCACCCTTTGAGGGCAGCCAGGTACAGGAGACCAACGGTGGCCAAGATGATCAACATCTGCGTCTGGATTGTGTCCCTCTTGGTCATCTCCCCCATCCTGATCTTTGCAGACACCGAGTCCTCCAAGAATGGGGTGGTGGTCTGCAATCTCATGTGGCCCCAACCTACCTGGTCCACCGTCTTTGTCATCTACACCTTCCTCTTGGGGTTCTTCCTCCCGGTGGTGGCCATCTGCCTGTGCTACATCCTCATCATCATCAAGATGAGAGCGGTGGCTTTGAAGGCTGGTTGGCAGCAGAGGAAGAAGTCTGAGAAGAAGATCACCAGGATGGTCCTCATGGTGGTCACCGTCTTTGTCATCTGCTGGATGCCTTTCTACATCGTCCAGCTCCTCAACCTCTTCTTGCCCCATATGGATGCCACCATCAACCACATCTCCATCATCCTCAGTTATGCCAACAGTTGTGCCAACCCCATCCTCTATGGCTTTTTTTCAGACAACTTTAAGAGGTCCTTCCAGAGGATCGTGTGCTTTCGTTGGATTGAGAATGGGACAGATGAGCCGGTGGATTACTATGCCACAGCTCTGAAGAGCAAGGTGTGCAACAACCACCCCTTGGACTTCCAACAGGAGCCCCTTCAATCCGACCCTTGTTACAAACATGGGACCATCACAAGGACCACTACCCTATAGCAGACCCAAGATGCCTTGTTTCCAATTAACTGCTGCTAGCCGCACATGCTACAAATGTTCTGAGGTTTACATGTCTGTCCAGGTGTCCCAATCTGTGTCTGGTTTGTACTGATGGTGGATAACAGTGAGCTTAATAAATTGTAGAGACCACCCTGGTCTTCAACAGCAGTATGTTCCCAACATTATTATTGTTAGAATTATTGGTATTGTTATTTTATATGACCATCAGTGGTCTCAAACTTGCAGTTCGGTAGTGATATGTAACTCTCAGTTACCTTTGATGAAGCACTTATTTTAAATTACCATCAGTGGTCTCTAACTTGCAGCTCAGGAGTCATATGTAGCTCTCAGCTTTGATGAAGCTTATATTTTACATTACCACCAGTGGCCTCCAACTTGCAGTTCAGTAGTCATATGTAGCTCTCAGCTTTGATGAAGCTTTTATTTTGAACTACCATTAGTGGTCTCCAACATGCAGCTCCGTAGTCATATGTAGCCCTCGGTTACCTTTGATGAAGCACTTATTTTACATTACCATCGGTGGTCTCTAACTTGCAGCTCAGGAGTCATATGTAGCTCTCAGCTTTGATGAAGCTTGTATTTTACATTACCACCAGTGGCCTCCAACTTGCAGTTCGGTAGTCATATGTTGCTCTCAGCTTTGATGATGCTTTTATTTTGAACTACCATTAGTGGTCTCCAACATGCAGCTCCGTAGTCATATGTAGTGCTCAGTTACCTTTTCTGAACCACTTATTTTACATTACCATCAGTGGTCTCCAACTTGCAGCTCAGGAGTCATATGTAGCTGTCAGCTTTGATGAAGCTTTTATTTTGAACTACTATTAGTGGTCTCCAACATGCAGCTCCGTAGTCATATGTAGTGCTCAGTTACCTTTTCTGAACCATTTATTTTACATTACCATCAGTGGTCTCCAACTTGCAGCTCAGGAGTCATATGTAGCTCTCAGCTTTGATGAAGCTTTTATTTTGAACTACCATTAGTGGTCTCCAACATGCAGCTCCGTAGTCATATGTAGTGCTCAGTTACCTTTTCTGAAGCACTTATTTTACATTACCATCAGTGGTCTCCAACTTGCACTCAGGAGTCATACAGGGGTTAGACAAAAAAATGGAAACTCTACATGATTTGCAGGTGCGAAAACGATGACTTGTTTCGCGTTAAAAGCAAAAGTGATGTTACTTGTTTCTGCTATGTGATGAGAAACCTAGCTAACAGGTAGGAAGCCTCACTTTCATCATTCGCTGCATGTGCTGCTAGTAATACGGAGTCATGTCAGAGCTTACTGAGCTGCAAAGAGGGCAAATCGTTGGTGGCCGCTTAGCTGGTGTCTCTGTGACTGAAGTTGCCAATTTATTTGCCATGTCGTGAGGTACAATATCAAAAGCTGTGATGGCACATACAGTATCTGAGAAATTGACATCTGATAAGCATAAGCGTGGTTGACATTGTCAACTGACCAAAAGAGTGACCTGGAATAAGAAACAACTGCTGCAAAAGTGACTGCAGAGCTCAATCTTAGTTCCGTCTTCACTTTCACACCTGCAAATCATTCAGTGTTTAATTTTTTTTGTCCAATCCCTGTTTGTAGCTATCATTTACCTTTGATGAAACACCCATTTTACATTACCATAAGTGGTCTTCAGCTTGCAGCTTAGAAGTCATATGTAGCTCTCAGTTACCTTTGATGAAACACCCATTGTACAATACCATCAGTGTTCTCCAGCTTTCAGCTCAGGGGTCATATGTAGCTTTCAGTCACCTTTGATGGAGCATTTATTTTATGTTACCACAAATGACCACTAACTTGCAGTTCAGAGGTCATATGTAGCTCCCAGTTACCTTTGATGAAACACATATTTTACAATACCATAAGTGGCCTTCAACTTGCAGCTTAGGAGTCATATGTAGCTCTCAGTTACCTTTGATGAAACACCCATTGTACAATACCATCAGTGTTCTCCAGCTTTCAGCTCAGGGGTCATATGTAGCTTTCAGTCACCTTTGATGGAGCATTTATTTTATGTTACCACAAATGGCCACTAACTTGCAGCTCAGAGGTCATATGTAGCTCTCAGTTACCTTTGATGAAACACCCATTTTACAATACCCATAAGTGGTCTCCAACTTGCAGCTCAGGGGTCATATGTAGCTTTAAGTTACTTTTGATGGAACATTTATTTTATGTTACCACCAATGACCAATAACTTGCAACTCAGGGTTCATATGTAGCTCTCAGTTATCTTTGATGAAACATCTATTTTACAATACCATCAGTGGTCCCCAACTTGCAGCTCAGGCGTCATATGTAGCTTTCAGTTACCTTTGATGAAACACCCATTTTACGCTACCATAAGTGGTCTTCAACTTGCAGCTTAGGAGTCATATGTAGCTCTCAGTTACCTTTGATGAAACACCCATTTTACAATACCATCAGTGTTCTCCAGCTTGCAGCTCAGGGGTCATATGTAGCTTTCAGTTATTTTTGATGAAGCATTTATTTTATGTTACCACCAATGGCCACTAACCTACAGCTCAGGGTTCATATGTAGCTCTGTTACCTTTGATGAAACACCCATTTTACAATACCATCAGTGGTCCCCAACTTGCAGCTGGGGTCATATGTAGCTTTCAGTCACCTTTGATGGAGCATTTATTTTATATTACCACCAATGACCACTAACTTGCAGCTCAGGGTTCATATGTAGCTCCCAGTTACCTTTGATGGAGCATTTATTTTATATTACCACCAATGACCACTAACTTGCAGCTCAGGGTTCATATGTAGCTCCCAGTTCCCTTTGATGAAGCACTTATTTTATATTACCACCAGCGGTCTCTAACTTGCAGCTCAGGGGTCACATGTGGCTCTCAATTACCTCTAATGAAGCAGACAGCAATCCTCTTTTAGGTGCTTAGTGCCTGTTTGTGTGAACACCTGATGCATCCTAGGAATCTCATAATCAACCAAGCAGAGCTTGTTTAATTCAAAGCTGTATTAAACCCCAAAAACAACAAAAAAAGCAAACATTTGTTATATCGCAGCTTGCCAATTCTTAGATGTGTTGGCTGCATTTGTTTTATTTTTTAGGCTTTCTTGCTTCTATTTTCATCTGGTTGTTTTTCAAAAGCACAATCTCTCCAGCAGAATGTATCAGTTTAGATGGATGAGGCAAACCACTAATCACTGGCAGGGATGATTTAAATGATTAGCTTTTATTCATTCATGCAAAAGCTTTATCCCAATAGGAAAAAAAGCTGGTTTGCTGCAACTGATTAAAAAGTGTGTGCTGGAGTTTGATTTCAATTTGTTGGTGTATCTAAATCCGATAATACATTTAACCCCCCCCCTCCATACACACTGACAATGCTGCTGTCTGCTGTGCCTCTTGTGCTCGTTCACCCAGGGTGGGGGCACTCTCCTTAAGGTGGGTGAGTGTGTTACTGGCCAGATCACCAGGTGAAAATAGAAGGGAAAAAAGCCAAAGAAAAGAATGGGAATGCAGCCACCACATCTAATGCTTTGTAAACCGCATTATATTTAATTTTCCGTCTTGGGTTTATTAACGCTTTAAATTGCATATTACCAATTCGTAGATGTGGTGGCTGCATTAGTTGTTTTGGCTTTTTTCCCCCCCTTTATTTTCACCCGTCGATCTGGCCAGTAAGCATGTTATATTTTTTTTAACTTCATTTAAAGCTGAGCTCCAGGAAATTGAAACACCTTCAATGCAGTAGGGCTGCGCCCACACTGCAAGGGCTAACTGCTCGTTTGGGTCTCAGGGATTTGGAAAAGCACTTGTTACCAGGGGCGGACTGACAACTCATGGGGCCCCCGGGCAATAGGGGATCATGGGGCCCCTGTGTCCTTGCCAAAACTCAAAAAAGCCTATGAAAAAGGTACCAGGGGCATCTCATGGGGCCCCCTACTGACCCCGGGCCCTCGGGCAGTGCCCGAGTTTCCAAATGGTCAGTCCACCCTGCTTGTTACTTACCCGATCCTCCGTTCCTGCAAACACCTCCAAACTGCATTCTCTGCAGCCTCTTCTTCCCTGTACTCCGGTGGCCAAGGTTTTCTGACATCATTAAGAGCAATGCACGGGTCCATAGCCCTGCTTTGGACATGAGGACATAGAAGAACAGTCCACCGCTGGAGCATGGGGGAGCACCATCTACTGGGGAGCTGAAGATCAGGTAAGTAAAATTCTTTTACCATCCCCTAGAAATAAATGAACCGTTAAAGTGGTTTTAAAGGCTTAAGGCTTTTTACCTTTGTGCATTCTATGCTTGAAGATAAATAACCTTTTGTGTGCAGCCCCCCCCCCCCAGCCCCCCTAATACTCACCTCAGCCCCCTTTCAATCCAGCGATGTGCACTGGAGTCTCGGTTATCCCGGGACTCCCACTCCTCACTGGATGAAGCAGGAGCCATTGGCTCTCACTGCTATCAATCACAGCTAGTGAGCCAATGAAAAGAGAGAGGGGGTGAGGCCAAGCTGCAGCTCCATGTGTGAATGGACACACAGAGCATCGGGTGCCCCCATAGCAAGCTGCTTGCTGTGGGGTCACCTGACAGGAGGGAGGGGCCAAGAGCGCCCAGCTGAGAACTGAAGAGGAGGATCCAGGCTGCTCTGTGCAAAACCACTGCACACCACAGGTAATTATAGACATGTTTGTTATTTATTAATTGTTTATTGTTATGATTGCTTTTATTAATAATCATTTTAAAAAAATATGCCTTTAGTCTCATTTTAACCCTTGTAGTTCAGTTCAGGAGGTTGAGTTTTACAAGAGTTGGGCTTTAACAAACCAAGTTGCCCAGCAAAAAGGCAATTAGAGGTTTGAGATAAACCACTTACCACAGACAGGGGTGCTTACAATACTCAGATTTTATTCACTTTATCCCAAAAGGGAAAAAAATGCTGTAACTGCTTGTGAAGTGTTAGCCAGAGTTTGGGTTTAATTTATTAGTCAAGTCTATCTAAATCTGCTAGTTTGTCTAACACTATCCTCTCCCCAGACTGACAATGCTGCTGTCCATAGGTGTCTCCATTAGTCCTCCATCCAGAGTAGAGACACCTTGAGATGGGAAGTTTTTTAATGGGCAGATTACCAGGTAAAAATAAGCAAAAAAAAAAAAAAAAAACGAATGCAGCCATCACATTTAAGGACTGGTATTGGGGATTAATATTGCTCAAAATCATTTTATTCAAATGTCTGAAACAATTATTTTAAAGGGTCACATAGCTGTCATCGCCATCTTGTTTTTAAAGGTGCAGCCTCTGGTGCTGCCATCCTGCTCCTGCCTTCAATCTGTCATGCAAAAAGCATGGTGTCAGTGAAAGCTAATAGAATTGCTGGGATCCAGCATTCAGTGTAATATCTCCAATGCCTGTGACTTTAAAAATAAGTCAGCGATCAGAGAGCCATGATTTCCATCCTCACAAATCTGCTGATGGGCCAATCACAGTTATCACTAGCAACCAATCAGATTTCAGGTCTTATTTGTTAAAAATGTGGAATGATTGGATGTTGTGGGTTAATGTATCCTACCAAAAAAAAATTAAAAAGAAATGAAACTTTGTATCAATTTTATATTTCTACTTAATTCCTATAGCTACAAAGTTATCAAAGATTTTAAGCGACTGTTGTGGCTCAGTTCACACTGTTGCAGCTTGGGATCTGACTTGTGAGACCCAGGGGCGGACTGACTATTTGGAAACTCGGGCACTGCCAGAGGGCCCAGGGTCAGTAGGTCATGAGATACCCCTGGTACCTTTTTCATAGGCTTTTTTGAGTTTGGGCAAGGACACAGGGGCCCCATGATCCCCTATTGCCCAGGGGCCCCATCAGTTGTCAGTCCGCCCCTGGTGAGACCCCAAATTGCATGACATGTGACACCCCAGTCACATCGGGTGCGACTTTCCATGCAATTTGCCATGCCATGCGATTTGCAAATCGCATGGCAAGTTGCACCCTATTGTCTGCAATTAAAGACCTGGTCGGAGTCGCACCGATTTCCAAAGTGGTGCATGCACTACTTCAGGTGCGACTTACATAGACATCTGGGCAGATGTCTTGCAAGTCGCACCTCAAGTCGGAATAACATCTGACATCGAAATTGTGCGACTTCACTGAAAGTCGCCTGATTTTTAAAACGGATCGTTGTGACCGGGCTGTTAGTCAATGAGAGCCGTCTTAATTAGCACTACTGAAGTCGCTCCGACTTTAGAAAAGGTTCCTGTACTACTTCAAGGCGACTTCTATCCAAGGGCGGACTGACATTCCTGGGGCCCCCGGGCAATAAAAGATCATGGGGCCCCTGTGTCCTCGCCCACATTCAAACCACACCCAAAAAAGACTATGAAAAAGCCCATAAAATGTGCCAGGGACATCTCATGGGGCCCCCTACTGACCCCGGGCCCTCGGGCAGTGCCCAAGTGCCCCAATAGTCAGTCCACCCCTGCTTCTGTCCAACTTGTGCCCATGGACTTTAATGGAAGTTGCCTCCAAGTAGGGGTAGACTGACAATTCATGGGGCCCCCGGGCAATAGGGGATCATGGGGCCCCTGTGTCCTTGCCCAAACTCAAAAAAGTCTATGAAAAAGGTACCAGGGGAATCTCACGGGGCCAGGGGCAGACTGACCATTTGGAAACTCGGGCACTCCCCGAGGGCCCAGGATCAGTAAGGGGCCCCATGAGATGCCACTGGTACCTTTTTCATAGGCTTTTTTGAGTTTGGGCAAGGACACAGGGGACCCATGATCCCCTATTGCCCGGGGGCCCCATGAGTTGTCAGTTCGCCCCTGCATGGGGCCCCCTACTGACCCCTGGCCCTCGGGCAGTGCCTGAGTTTCCAAATGGTCAGTCCGCCCCTGCCTCCAAGTCAGATCATCATCTGTATTGATGTGATTTGGATCTGATATTACAAGAAGATTACTCAGTGAAAGTCACACGGCATGAAAGTTGCACATCAAGTCGCATCAAAGTCGTACTCAAGTTGCATCAGCAAATCACTGGGAAGTCGCCTGGCAAAGTTGCACTGTAAGTCGAGCAACTATCAGGTCACGGTAGTGTGACCTGACACTGGGATTTCGGTCAATTGGCTGACAGCAGGGCTTTGCATTGCATGCCCATAACATTTCAGCAGATCCAGGAGTCATCTTAGCAAGGTTCCATTCACACCTGGGTATTTGAATCGCCAAAATTCTGCCCGTGAATTCACATCGCTCTTCTAACATGAGAAATCGCACAATGCACATTGCAGATGCCATTCATTTTAACAGGACCTAAAAATGCGCTGCAGCTCTGCCGCAATTTATTACTGCAATCGCGCAAATCGGTTGAAGCTTGTCGCCCAAAAAAGAAGCAGGAGCTTCTTTTTGGGCGACAAGCATTACACGGTGTGATTTGCCGCGATTGGAGCACGATTTATCATGTGACAATTGCGGCAAAACTGCACTGAGTTTTTAGGTGCCATTAACATGAATAACATATGAAATTCGCGTTGTGCAATTTCTCCTGTTAGCAGAGCTTTTTGAAATCGCATTCAAAATGCCCAGATGTGAATGGAGCCTAAAGGAAAACGTCTATCGCATAGGCTGGAAATTTTCAGCCAGTTCTACCCTGGCATCAGAGGTGTCTGCAATTACACCTGTGGGATATGAGATTGCTTCTTTACAGATGCCTAACCGCCATCTACTGTCTATGGCCAGATCAAAGCGGTATTCAACCCAAAACCAAAAATGTAATACATTACAGCTTACCAATCATTAGATGCGGTGGCTGCATTAGTTTTCTTTTTTTAAGGCTTTCATCCCTCTGTTTTCACCTGGTGATCTGGCCAGTAACACACCTCCTGTATTAGAGCGCCCCCACTCTGGATTAAGGAGCACAGGGGGCACCTTTGGACAGCTCAAAGCCTTATTCAACCCAGAACCAAAAATGTAATACATTACAGCTTACCAATGTGGTGGATGCATTAGTTTTTTTTTTTTTTTTAGGCTTTCATCCCTCTGTTTTCGCCTGGTGATCTGGCCAGTAACACACCTCCTGTATTAGAGCGCCCCCACTCTGGATTAAGGAGCACAGAGGGCACCTTTGGACAGCAGCATTGTCAGTCTGGGTGGAGGGGAGTGTTAGATGTGTTAGCAGATTTAGATACACTAACAAACTGAAGCCAGCTCACAATTTAGGAGTAGTTACAGCACGTTTTTTTTTTTTTTCCCTTTTGGGATAAAGGGTTTATATAAATAAATAACAGTGTCCCTGCCAGTGGTAAATGGTTTGTCTCATCCCTGTAAATGATATATTTTCAAGACAGCTTGTTCTTTTGAAAAAAACAGCAGACTTACTAACCAGATCAGCTGATGAACATAAAGGAAAGAAAGCCTAAAAAAGGAATGCAGCCATCAGAACTAAGAATTGGTAAATGCCGGGGGCGGACTGACAACTCATGGGGCCCTCGGGCAATAGGGGATTATGGGGCCCCTGTGTCCTAGCCCACACTCAAACCACACCCAAAAAAGCCTACCAAAAAAGGTACCAGGGGCATTTCATGGGGCCCCCTACTGAACCCGGGCCCTCGGGCAGTGCCCGAGTTCCCAAATGATCAGTCCGCCCCTGGTAAACGCCAATATAATAATTGTTTGCTTTTGGGTTTACTACTGCTTTCAAGTTATCCATACACCTGTAGAAAGTTTGTACAAAATTCTGAAAAATCGTTCTTCAGGGCCATTCTAGTGATTATTGAACCAACATGGGGCGGACTGACAACTCATGGGGCCCCCAGGCAATAGGGGATCATGGGGCCCCTGTGTCCTTGCCCAAACTAAAAAAAGCCTATGAAAAAGGTACCAGAGCCATCTCATGGGGCCCCTTACTGACCCCGGGCCCTCGGGCAGTACCCGAGTTTCCAAATGGTCAGTCTGCCCCTGGAACCAACTGATCATTCAAAAGCCCTTAAAATTTCATCCAGCTGTGCAACTAGAATAGAATCCCAGATGCATTAAACACATTTTGTTTGTTTCTAGCATACGCGTGTTACAGTAAGTCCAATTTTTTTCCCAGCGTAACACACATTCAGCGTTGGTTGACAATACTGTGACTTCTCATGCGACTTGCTGCAACACAGAAAGTCACATGACAAGTCAAAAAACATTAATTTCAATAGGTTCCGTCTTAATTGCTGCGACTCAAATGGCAGCGACAAAAATTTTTTTTAAAAATCCTGCCATACTTTTCAGCATTTTCCTTGCGACATGAGCGCCATAGACTGCAACGTCAAAAACACAAAAGTCGCAAGGAAGTAGTTTCTTTGTCTTACCTTTGCAACTTTGTCTGTGACTTCAGAGGGTTTTGTAAGTTCAATAATATGTGTCACACTCTGTATTGTTATGATCAGGGGGGCCCCATGATTCGGGCGGACCATTTGGAAACTCGGGCACAGCCCGAGGGCCCGGGGTCAGTAGGGGGCCCCATGAGATGCCCCTGGTACCTTTTTCATAGGCTTTTTTGAGTTTGGGCTAGGACACAGGGGCCCCATGATTCCGCCCCTGGTTATATTTGCCCGGGGGCCCCATGAGTTGTCAGTCCGCCCCTGGTTATGATTGTCCAGAGTCGCAAAAGAACAAAGTCACATACAGGGGCGGACTGACCATTTGGAAACTCGGGCACTGCCCGAGGGCCCGGGGTCAGTAGGGGGCCCCATGAGATGCCCCTGGTACCTTTTTCATAGGCTTTTTTGAGTTTGGGCAAAGGACACAGGGGCCCCATGATCCCCTATTGCCCGGGGGCCCCATGAGTTGTCAGTCCGCCCCTGGTTATGATTGTCCAGAGTCGCAAAAGAACAAAGTCACATACAGGGGCGGACTGACCATTTGGAAATTCGGGCACTGCCCGAGGGCCCGGGGTCAGTAGGGGGCCCCATGAGATGCCCTGGTACCTTTTTCATAGGCTTTTTTGAGTTTGGGCAAGGACACAGGGGCCCCATGATCCCCTTTTGCCCGGGGGCCCCATGAGTTGTCAGTCCGCCCCTGGTCACATAAGAGTCTCATCAAGCCGCAATCAGGTCACAATGCAAAGTCACACAACTTTTGGGTTCGCAGTAATGTGACCTGAGCCTCACTGTTAGAATTTACATTTTTTCAATTTCGTCCAAGAAAAGATTTCCCTCCTGCACCTTTGAATTCTTTCATCATTACAGTTAGAGATGAGCGAATCGAACTTGGCGAAGTGGAATTCGTTTCGAATATCAGGAAAATTTCGATTCGCGACGAATCCGAAAATAAGCAGACTTCGGATGCAAATTTTTCCAAAAATGGCGGCGACATGTGCGGCGACGGAGCGGGGATCTCTGGGAAGGCGCGCAGACAAGGCGCGCTGACCCATAATGCATTCATTCATGACATGTGATCGCATTAGCCAATCAGCAGCCAGCCAGCCAGCACTGTGTAATGGTCGAGCTATAAATTGCGGCCATTTTAGAATTCTCCATTTGCCTCCAGTCATTCAAGAGAGGCAGACCTGGCTGTATTGAGGGAGAGAGTTAGGGACACAGAAACGTTACTTAGGAACACAGAAACGTTACTTAGGGCCACAGAAACGTTACTTAGGGCCACAGAAACGTTACTTAGGGCCACAGAATCGTTACTTAGGGCCACAGAATCGTTACTTAGGGCCACAGAAACGTTACTTAGGGACACAGAAACGTTACTTAGGGCCACAGAAACGTTACTTAGGGCCACAGAATCGTTACTTAGGGCCACAGAAACGTTACTTAGGGCCACAGAAACGTTACTTAGGGCCACAGAAACGTTACTTAGGGACACAGAATTGTTACTTAGGGAAACAGAATTGTTACTGAGGGACATAGAATTGTTACTGAGGGACACAGAATTGTTACTGAGGGACAGACACAGAATTGTTACTGAGGGACAGACACAGAATTGTTACTGAGGGACAGACACAGAATTGTTACTGAGGGACACAGAATTGTTACTGAGGGACACAGAATTGTTACTCAGGGACAGACACAGAATTGTTACTGAGGGACAGACACAGAATTGTTACTGAGGGACAGACACAGAATTGTTACTGAGGGACACAGAATTGTTACTGAGGGACACAGAATTGTTACTGAGGGACACAGAATTGTTACTCAGGGACAGACACAGAATTGTTACTGAGGGACACAGAATTGTTACTGAGGGACACAGAATTGTTACTGAGGGACAGACACAGAATTGTTACTGAGGGACACAGAATTGTTACTGAGGGACACAGAATTGTTACTCAGGGACAGACACAGAATTGTTGCTCAGGGACAGACACAGAATTGTTACTCAGGGACAGACACAGAATTGTTACTGAGGGACACAGAATTGTTACTGAGGGACACAGAATTGTTACTGAGGGACACAGGATTGTTACTGAGGGACAGACACAGAATTGTTACTGAGGGACACAGAATTGTTACTGAGGGACACAGAATTGTTACTCAGGGACAGACACAGAATTGTTACTGAGGGACACAGAATTGTTACTGAGGGACACAGAATTGTTACTGAGGGACACAGAATTGTTACTGAGGGACACAGAATTGTTACTGAGGGACACAGAATTGTTACTGAGGGACACAGAATTGTTACTGAGGGACACAGAATTGTTACTGAGGGACACAGAATTGTTACTGAGGGACAGACACAGAATTGTTACTGAGGGACACAGAATTGTTACTGAGGGACACAGAATTGTTACTGAGGGACACAGAATTGTTACTGAGGGACAGACACAGAATTGTTACTCAGGGACACAGAATTGTTACTGAGGGACACAGAATTGTTACTGAGGGACACAGAATTGTTACTGAGGGACACAGAATTGTTACTGAGGGACAGA